AATAAAATTTTTCAGTTTATCTTTTTAATAATGAAAATGACTAGTTTATAAGGAAACTTTTTTCTCCCTGTGTTTTCTTCAGTTCTTTTTATTTGAAGTCCCATACTTAATCTATACCCTTTACTCTCAGAAGTTGCTGCTAATAACTTTTAAAAAAATAAGATAAAAATAACTTGTTCTTTTTTTTGCTTTTGAATGTTTGTCATCTCATGTATGCCAGATTTATTGAACTTGCAGTAGTTTTAGTGCATTTTGGCTGGAATGTTTATTATGACATCACTGTAATCTATATACAGTGTGTGATTTCAGATGGTTTCTGTGTTAAATATTTTCATAATTATGCTAGTTTTGGCAGTTCACTTGGAACTTTTTCACATCTCTTTAATGAACATATTCTACTTCTGGGCTTTTGAGACAACCACATGTTTCAGAAATTAATAGTGTGCTTTTAATGTTAACGTTGTGCAGAAGTGTATGACTACAGACATTTTTAAGGATGTAAGTTGAACTAAAAGTAGTTACAGTAAGGTTTTGTTTGTAACATTAGTCTTTTAAAGACTACAGCATTCCTCAAAATAACAGAAGATATAATTAAAAATATTGAATAGTGATACTGTTTTGTGAACTGAAACACTGATTAGTATTGCATAACTTAAAATGAACGTCAGTTTATGTGAACATTGCTTTCATTGCTTCTGATACAAATCTCTTTTTGTTTATCTTAAATTTTTAAATAAATCCTTTTTGCTGAAATATTGCCATATTGAGCCAGATAATGCTATCTGGTTTTAAAAAAAGCACATTTTTTTTATTATATGCTTCTCCTGATGTGGTATTGAGGTTTTTTGTTTTCTAATGGATAATGAGTTGCACTGTCAACCCAAAAGCAGCTGATAAGTAGAGGGATAATCTTTTCTCATGCAGTTTATAGCCTCTAAAACCCCACTGGCTGGTGAGCTATAAGTTGATTCTGACTTGAGGACAATGAGTTGAGTGCAATGAAATCTTGTTATTGTGATGATTCGCTTCTAGTATCCTACTTGATTGACATATTTAGTGATTATCCTTTTTGTATTTACTCTTGAAACATTCTCATTTTTTTTTCTTTTCTTTTTTTTTTTTTGAAACATTCTCTTTAAATACAATGGAAACCTACCTAAATTTATCATTGTTCTTATAAATATGTACTTTAAGAGTTTCTATACTAATGAATTGATGGTGCACAGTATAATAACAGTTACCCTTTGAATTGATATTATTAATTTATTCCCCATATTCCTTTTTTCTTCAAATGAAAAGATACTTTTAAAATCTTTGGAACAGGGAGTAGAATGATACCAGATCCATTTACCTCATAGTACCACCCCATTTCATACTTCCTGCTTTTAACTATCTTATAAAACAATCTTTGCTTACTGATTTAACTTTATCTTCTTTTCATTCTCTGTTTGAACACTTTTTTACAGTTCCCATTTCTTCACTCTTCTAGGAGCCATTGAGTCTTTCCTAAATCAGCCATCTTCTAATTATCACATCCAGAAAAAATAACAACTTTGGTTTATAATTTTCCTCAAATTTAATAACTCATTCTTAATAAAAAAATTCCTTTACTCAGTTATAAGGGCTTGAGCTCTTAAATTCTTCCAGTTGGGATTAAAAAATATATGTGCTGCTGTTTCAACATTATTTATATAAGTATCTGTAGTTTCTGAAATCATTTGAGGACAGGTATCAAATTTAATTTTGTAAACACAGCAAGTAAGCTCTTAAGAGTATTGTGTAATTGTAATTCATTATATACAACATTCAGGCAAAGACAAAAGTCATCATTTGCTTTTTGTAATTAAAAAAAGAGAAATTTAAAATGACGTATGATTTGTGTACATTTCTGTGCTATCCATATCACAACCCTTTAGAAATCCTTTGTCTAGAGTAATACTTCAATAAACATTGCTGCATTTTATTTTACTTTGGTGGCTTGTGTGTTGCTGTGATGTTAGAAGCTGTGCTACCAGTATTTAAAATAGTTGCAGATTTCAGCTGAGTTTTCCAGAATTGGACAACAAACATGGCAATTTAATTTAGAAAATTTGGCCTATGAAGTCTTTAAAATAACAACAGAACATAGTCATCTATAGTGACAGAAAGTGAGCGCCTCAGATTGGAGGACACTCTGTAATGTGATTGCGGAAGTGTTATTTCCTCAAAACACAACTATGGTGACTTTTGACGAGGTTTCCAACCCTTTGTGTTTTACTAGGAGGACATTGTGTGTCTTTCTTACACTGAGCACCTTGTGTTTAAAACTTGCTGATCTTTGATTAACAGCACAAAACTTACCCCACTATGCTTTGCCAGTTTTAATGATGTGTTTTAATTATTTTATTTTGAAAATGGAAGAAAATAATTTTATTGTACACATGAAGGAACTGTATATAGATCAAGAGGCAGTTTTTCAAACAGAACATGGTCCTGCATGGTTTAAAAAACAGGAAAGGTGTGTATCAGGGTTGTAGTCTCTCAAGATACTTTTCTAGGCTGTTTTGAGCAAGTAATCTGAGAAACTGGGCTATCTGATAAAGAACATGGCAACAGAATTCGAGAAATACTTATATAACAATCTATGATAGGGAGCTCTGGTGGCCTAGTGGCAAGTGTGATTAACTGCCTCTCACTGAAAGGTTAGCTGTGGGTCGGTTCCTACTCTACAGTAAATAACAATGTTATGCAGTGAAACAGCCTCTTTTGCTAAAAAGTGAAGGGTGCTTGAAGCACTTAATGAAGATGATCAAAGACTGAAGCCTTCAGTATGGGTTGCCCATCATCATAAACAAATGGGGGGGAAATTTGCAGCTTGGAGTGTCAGGAACCTTGAAAATTGGGTTTTTTAGCCACTTTGTTAGCCCCTTGCATGGGGGCATCTTTGCCAGCTACCTTAACTGTGGACACAAGGTTTTATAAATCCTCAACAGCTGTGGGACCAATTAAAAAAAAAAGAGAACACTTAAAACCCTGAGAGAGATAGTGTTGGAAGAACTGTGTAGACACAGTGAGAGACAGTCATGGAGGGAGGGTGAAGGGACTGTGGCAAGATGGAACCAGAGGAATCCTGGAGAAAAAGGCCACAGTTAAACATTTTGCTTGCTAGATGAGTGAAGGTAAAACAGACTTATAACTACTCGAAGACAAAGTTTGCTGGGTTGAGGAAACCATGAGGCTTCTTGCATTTGTGCTACTAAACTGAACCTCAGCTTTGGTTGATTGAGAAACTGTGTTTGACTAATTGAGGAATTTTGTTTTGGGGTAATCTGGCTTGGAACTGCTGGGTTAAAGCTGGGCTTGCATTGTGTGATATTCTTTGCCTATCCCCCTCCAGTCTATTTCCCTAGTAAATTCCACAATTGTGGGTAAAGTCTGTGAGTCTTGAAATGGACACCAGAACCAGAAGAAAAAGGTACAGGAGCATGACAGGTGGCGTGCCTGACCTTATAGCTATTTTGGTGCTATGGATATTATTGATGCAGACATTTACCCTTTATGAAGTGGGTAGAAGTCAGATTCGCCCTTCCCCACATTGCATCTGTTTCTTTAACACAACTGAATCAATAAACATCATCATAATAAGTGGAGAAAACATTGAAGTTATCAATGATTTTATTTTCCTTGGATTCAGTTAATGCTCATGGAAGAAGAAGTCAAGAAAGCAGATGACGTATTGCCTTGGGCAAATCTACTGGGAAAAAACCCTCTTCAAATTGTTTAAAAGCAAAGATGTCACTTTGAGGTCTGAGATGCGCCTGACCAAAACCATTGTGTTTTCAGTCACCTCATATGTATATGAAAGCTGGACAGTGCTTAAGGAAGAGATAAGAACAGTTGATGTATTTGACTTAATATTGGTGAAGAATACCTGATGGACAGTGTTCCAGTTATGGTACTAATGTACCATGGACAGCTAAGGAGCTGAACAAATTTTGGAAGAATTACAGTTAGAGTACTGTACCTTAGAGAGAAGAATAGCAATATTTTGTTTGGAGGGACCACTCCCTGGAAAAGGACTTTTTGCTGGGTAAATTGAAGGATTAATGTAAAAGGACGGCTCTCAGTGAGATGGATTAACACAGTGGCTGCAGTAATGGGTTCAGACATAGTAGTGATTGTAGAGATAGCATGGAATCAGGCAGTATTTTGTTCTATGGAATCTGAGGTTGTTATGTGACAGATGGGCTTGACCACTGTTAACAGCAACAGCAGGTATTGCTAAATAAGATACAAAGGATTCTAAGCTTGATTAGTATTTGTTATTATAGATGACCCACAAGCCAGCTTGAGATCTGAATTATCTTGTAAAACAGAATCTTAATATGTAAACAAAAAGATGGAACTTGATGGAAAGGTCCAGTGGTGATTAATTTTATTAAAAATTACGTATGAGAATGATTGTATGAAACACATACAGTGAATATGAATGAGGAATAGTATGAAAAACAATGTATACAAACTTTGTAAGCAAATCAGTAAAATAAAGAGGGAGAATGGTTTTATTTAGATTTATTTTATGCTATGATAGAGACAGTAAGTGGTTAAAAGCTTTCACTAAGCAGTCTTTTCTTTTACTAGTGACATAAATAAGAGTGCTTTGACTTTGTCAGGTGGTTATTTTGATAACACCTAGATAATGACAGGATTTGTAATTTTATATAGCTAACTTTTTTTGAAGGTGAAAAGTAAAGATAAATTTATTAGAAAGTTTCATCCCCAAAGAAATGGACCTCCCTCCCCAAAAGGAAATAGGAAGGGGAACACTGAATATTTTTTAAATGCTGTTTGATATATTAATTATAGTAATTATGTAAATAGGTTTTTTTTATAGTTAAAAATATAAGATTAGAAGAGTGTATCTGGGCTCACTTAGTAACCATAGAATTGCATATATTCAGCAAACCTTTTCCTAATGTTTGAATGGCAGTTGACTCCTTTTCTCTTGGAAACAAAATTAGGATGATCATGAAAGCTGTGGCTCCAGTTCTACCACTCCTGAAAACACAAAATTATCAGTGAAACCCCGAAAAATTCAACAGAGTGCTCTGACAGATCCTGATTTGCCACCAGGTAACTTCTAATTGAATTAGTAAAATTAAAATATTAACTTTTACTAATCTTTTTTTAGCCCTGCATAGAAATACATTCTAATCTTTTATGTCATGATATGTTTGGACTCTCAGTGTATTTGTTGCATGATTTCAGAACAGACTAAGTCCATATGCCAGAAAATTTTTCTTTAGATTTTCATTCTTTAAGGATTTTGCTCTGTTGTAGATATTCCTACAGTTTCTTTCTTGGAAGCCTTTATATAAAAATTGGTTTTTTTTTTTTTAAATTTTTTATTTTTTTTTCTCCCCCCCAGGTGCCTGTCGGGGCCTGGGTTTCAGCTGTCCACACCACAGCAGTGGGCAACGAGCTTAAAGCCCCTGATGGCTCTGGGCGCTGACTCTCACCAGTGGCTATGGATGAAGTCACAGGCGATTTTCAGCCAGCGCCTGAAAAATTGATTTTTGTTTTCACACTTTTGGCCTTTTTGTTTTTTGCCTTGTAATAAAGAGGAGACAATCAATTTCTCCATGTTTCTGAAAGCAGTAAAATTCTGGGAGCTATAACATTCACTAATGGAGTCACAAATTTATTTTAGTGGTCAGTCACTAATAAGAGACATCATGTTTGGTGAGGTAGATGACCAGCAAAGGCATATGAATTTCTCAGAGAAATGGATTGGCATAATAGCTGCAGGACGGAATAAAACATGATGCATTGTGAGTGTGACACAGGACTGGACAGTGTTTACTTCTTTTGTTCGGAAGTTGTCCCATGAATTAGAGTTCATTCAGTGGCAGCTACCAAACAGAAGCGTTATTTTTTCATATACTTTTCCAAATATAGTGTACTAGAAGGAACTCGGACTGCTTTTATCTTGAGTCTATCTTGTCCCTTAGGCCAATTGTTGGATTCTACTTGGTCAAATGTTGGTTTTCACTTTGTTCCACGGTAAAGAGACTGAAGAATATCCAAAGCAAAACCCAGTCCGTTGTGTCAGTAGATGCAGACTTGTGTTGACAGGATTTTCAGTGTTTGATTTTTCAGAAATAGATCACCAGGCTTTTCTTTCCAGGCACACTTGAGTAGATGAGTAGATAACAAACATCCAACCTTTTGATTAGCAGCTAATCTCATTAACTATTTGCACTGCCCAGGGATGATGGAAAAGACTCAGACAGGCTCGATAATTTTAGGCTAGATGTGATACATAGCCGTTTAGCTCAGGTTCTTTTGAGAAAAATTATTTGTTTGTATATTTTGTAATGCTGGGAAATCTCATCTCCCTGATAATTTCACCTTCAGGAAACGAAGCACAAATTATTGCTGCAGAGTCAGCCATCTCTACTGCACAGATGTTCTTTCTCATTAATATACCGATCCATTTTTTAGAAAGTTATGCTTCAAACTGATATTTACATATGTTGTTATTGTTTTGTACCTTTGAGTCAGAAGTGACTCATAGCTGACCCTCCGGTGGCTTTTCAGAGTCCATAAATCACACGAGAGGAGATGACCCATTTTCCCATGTAGCAGCTGGCAGATTTGAACCATGTTTCTTTGGGATTGCAGTAAAGGTTCTTAACACTATGTCACCAGAGTTTATATATATAGTGTTTATGTATATGTGTGTGTGTGTATAAAAATGTATTTTTGCATTTAGTTTATTACTAAAAGATAATAATTGATATATTTTTAACTTTGTTCTATCAAGTTGAATTTTAAAATGCTGTGTTTGATGCAAGCTCTTCAGTTTTCTAAATCTTCATTGCTGTGTACATCAGAATATTCAGTGACACTGGAAACCTTATAGAATACACAAAATTAAAAAGAATTTGGTTGATATGCAACCATTTAAACAGGTTTTTATGATGAAAAAGTGATGGTATTAAAAGAAGTCATCCAAGCTGCATTGAAGGCCTTGGCAAAAACGGATTTAATGGAATTCCAGTTGTAATTTTTTCAGCAAATGTCTGCAAATACTGCTAGTGCCCTCTTTTGTGTCAAAAAATTTGGAGGATAGCTACCAAACTTACTAAATAGAAGAGATTTACTTTTGTGCCCATTCAAGAGAATCCAGAAGATTGTGGAAACTATTTAACAGTATTAATATTGTTGCTGTTATGTGCCACTGAGTCACCTGTGACTCATGGCGACCCTCTGACACAGATATAAAATCTTGCTTAAGAGAATTAAAAAGAACAAATGGACAAGTAACTGCCAGAAATGCAGATTTGGAAGAGGACATGGAACAAGGGATATTATGAAGTTAATTGAATCTTGTTGAATGCAGAGAATTCTAGAAAGATGCTTACATATGTTTTGTTGACTATGCTAAGTCTCTTGACTCTGTGAATCACAACAAATTATAGATAGCATTATGAAGAATAATATTCCAGAACACTTGACTGTGTTCATGTGGAAACTTTACATAGACCAAGAGGTAGTTTTCCCAACACAGTGAGATACTGTGTGGTTTAAAATTTGGACAAGTGTGTCTTAGGTTTGTATCCTTTTAACGTTTATTTAGTCTGTATGCAGAGCAGATAATCTTAAGAAACTGGGCTGTAAGAAGAATGTAGCTTCGAGTCTCAGGAGTGGCTCCCAGTGACTCAGGGGCTGGTTCATCAAGCAGCGGTGGCAGTGGCGGGCTACTACGGAGCAGGCATGAGGGCTGGGCCCAGTCATGTGAGTGACTGTCTCATGTTGTGTTAATGCCAATCTGCCATGCTAGCCTGTCTACAAAGGCCAGATGATCTGTCCTTTCAGCTACTTTCTCACATGCAGATGAACACTGGACCTCAGAAATGGGACACTACACAGAAAATGAGAACTGCTCACTATCCTACACCAGCCGAAGTAGATGTGTATGCTCAGAAGGTCGTAAACAACCCACTGACTATAAAAATCTTCCCCAACAGTGTGAAGGTTCCCCAGTGGAAACACGTTCATCGTACTGTGAATGGCCTCAACACATCAGCCCAGCGCTACAGCCCTTAACTGAATTAGGCTGCCATCAAGGCAGGCCTGCTTGCCATTGTCAAAGTGCATCCAAGAGCGTACTCAAAGACTTTGATGGCACCCGAACCCAGTTGCTCTCTGAGGCCATCATGAACCTCCCAGTGGCACCCTAAGCTACTGTGGCACCTAGCACTTTAAGCCACCCCCAGGCCCAGGCTCTGGCCTGCCAGCAGGCTTTGCAGCATGCACAAACTTTGGCCCATGCTCCTTCCCAGATAGTGCAGCACCCTCAGGGTATCTTTCCTCCCCAGGCGGTGCTCCATCCTTAGAGCCTCCAGCAGCTTCAGGGTCTGGGTTACATGCAGCATGTAGCCCAAACCCGGGGCTTGGTCCATCCTCGGGCCCTGGCTCACCATGGTCTCCAGCACCTCTCCAATCCCTTATTGCATGGAGACTGGAAGATGCCAGACTCAGATGCTCCCCCAATATGGTAGGCCATGTCTACCTCAACTATTCCCCTTTCAATGGCGGCCACCCTGTAGCACAGCCAGCCTTTGAACCTGAGCAGCATCGTGCACCAGCTCAACCAGTTTTGCCAGACGAGGACAGGTATCAGCACAACTTCAGTGTGTGAGGGCCAGATCGCCCACCCCAGCCCCATTAGTACAGTCTGCTCATCAGTGCAAGTACCCGTGTGTTGGCCCATAGCATCCCTGCACCAGTGCCTTCTTGTGTGGTCAATCCCATGGCGCACACCCATGTGGCTACAGTTGCATTGCCTGCCACAGGCCTTGCCAACCTGCCATAGGCATCTCTCATACCCCTATTGACTCCCCTAGCGACCTCAAGTTAGTTACCTGGAATCAGCACCAGCTGGCCCAACTACAGTAGATGTGCAGTGAGGCTGGTGGGACATTGGCAGCCCTTAGCCTAACAGGCAAGCATGCAGCAGGATGTGACTTGGCAGGGCCTGGTTTTGTGGGCAAGTCCCCTGCCTACCCACAGAACTCTGTCTGGCACAGTCCTTCCATCTGAAGCCACCCTTGGAGTAGCCAATCCATCTCCACCAGTCAATGGCCTGGCAGCTCCACTGGCCTATCCCAGTGGTCACTATTTTTAACCCCTGTGAAACAACATTCTGCCCACTCCCAATAGTGACAGTTCGAAGTCTCAGGACCTCACCATGCCCTTCCATGGTGGACAGCCTTCAGGTGCACCCTTTGATTGTGCTGCTGCTGCTGGGGCCCACTACTGAGTAGGGACCAGGGGCAGTCCATTGGCCAGCCAGACCAGCTTGATGTAAACCATGGATTATCTATGTGAGGATTTCCAACGGGCCTGCTTCTGAGAACAGAGCCTGGCCATGCTGAGTAAGGCCCACTGTATCCTTGACAGTTGTGCCCCTGATCCCACAGATAGTCGAATCTTCATATTCAGCAACAGGGGTACAGATATCCACAAGATATACAACATATATCACCCTCCTAGGTTTAGTCTTACTTTTGAGTAACTGGGTAGTTTTAATAGTTTTTGCTCCCCCAGTGTGATCATTCTTCAAAGTCTGAGAAAGGGAATTTGGCAGTATCTAATGGTGAAGAGATTGAGATTGTTCACAGCTTTAGTTTGCTTGGATCCACAGTCAACACTCTTGGCACCAGTAGCCAGGAAATTAAAAGATGCATTGCCATGGGAAAGTCTGCTGTTAGGGACCTCTCCAAAGTACTGAAGAGCAGTGGTGTCTCTCTGGAGACTAAGGTGCATCTGATACAGGCCATGGTCTTTGCAGTCACTTGTTATGCATCAGAGAGTTGGACAGTGACCAAAGAGGATGGAAGGAGAATTGATGCCTTTGAGCTGTGGTGCTGGAGAAGAGTATTGAGAGTACGATGGGCTGCTAGGAAAACAAACAGGTTCATCCTGGAAAGGGTCAAAGCGGGTGGCTCCTTGGAGGCAAGGATTCTGAGGCTCCGACTAACATACTTTGGACATGTTGTAAGGAGATGCCGGTCCTTGGAGAAGGACATCATGCTTGGGAGGGTGGAGGGACAGTGCAGGAGGGGAAGGCCCTCTCTGAGGTGGATTGATTCAGTGACTGGGGTAATCGGGATGGGAGTGTCAGAGACAGTGCGATTGGCACAGGACAGAGCATGGTTTAGGGCTGTTGTACATAGGGTCGCTGTGAGTCACCAAGCAATTTGACGGCACACAACAACAACAATTGAGGGCAAAGGTAGTTTCTCGGAGCCCTCAAACTCTTCCAGCCCCAGCAGGCTCTTCTCTCCCTCCTTTCAGTCCCTCCACTGTGGCCATCCCCCAGCAGCTTCCTGTCTTTGCTTCTTAAGACAGATAAGGACTGAGGGAAGGACCCTAAAGTGATGTAGGTGTCCTGCCCCGTAAGCTAGACTTTCCCCCCTGCCCTGCTTTAGGACTAAGAAGTCAGACATTCCAAGTTTTTTGGGAACCAATTCCATATTCACTCAAAGAGCTCAAATCGGAACCAACCGTCTTCATCTCTCCATTCCTTAAGGCTTTGTTTTGCATATCTACCAAGCCCACTGCCACTGTCCTTTCCCCTTCCACTTCAAGGGCATTGTGCAGATGCTTAACCGTAGTCTTGGAACATGGAAAAGTATGTATTGGCATCTTGGTTTTATCTTTCCAGCCTTAGATAAATTCCATTGTGGAGGCTACAAGTTCATAATCAAGGTGTTGATAGAGACATGCCCATTCTTGAAGTTCCCAGGAAGAATTTCTCCTTGTCTTTTTCTGCCTTCTAGTGGTTGCTGGCATTCCTTGATATTCCTTGGCTAATAGTTACACCACTCCATCAAGTGTACCTAAGATCCCTTTTTCACTGTTGTGTTTCTAACTCCCAAGCTGCCCTTCTCTGCCAGGTTCTCCTCAAACAAACAAAAAAACTACCTACCTTACTCATGGAATTAGGTAGGTAAGGGATGATCACACTGGATTCTGGAATTAAATACACACACATAAAGAATGTAGCATCAGAAATGGAGGGAATTTCAATTAATAACCTGTAGTATGACAGGTTATAGCACAAATGATGAGCCTGACTTTCTAAAAGCCAAGAGGACTTGAAACACTAATAAAGGTCAAAGACTATAGCCTTAAAATCCTCACAACAGAACCACTAGGCAACATTATGATAAATGGAGAAAACATTGATGATGTTGAGAATTTAATTTTCTTTGGATTCTTAACCAGTGCCTTTGGAAATAGCAAAGAAATCAAATGACATATGGTATTTGACAAATCTACCAAAAGACCTCTTTAAAGTGTTAAAAAGCAATGATGTCATTTTGAGGGATAATACGTATATTTGATAGGAGAAAGATGGACAATGAGTGAGAAAATCAGAATTTTTTTTGTGCATTGTGTGGGATTGTCTTTGAAGGATATTGGATTTGTCATGGAGTGCCGGAAGAGCAAGCAGATCTGTCCTGGAGTCTATACTGTCTCCATGCTTCTTAGAAGCGAGTGTGACAAGTGTTAGTCTTACTTTAGGCATGTTTTCAAGGTGTCATTTGCAAAGAACATCATGTTTGTAATGTGAGGTTTCAATAAAAACATAGGAATACTCTTGGTGAGTTGCTTTGACTAGTGCTTGCCACAGTGGCGTCACACATGGCAGTGATTTTAAGGATGTTGCAGCACTGGCCAGTGTTTCCTTCTGTATATATAGGCTTGGTAGGAGTCAGGACTATGTTTTAGGGCATCTAACAACAAACCTTTCCAGAGTACTGAAGAGCAATGATGTCAGTCTGGAGACTAAAGTGTGCAGTTAATCCAGACCATGGTCTTTGCAATTGCTTGCTAAGTGTCAAGAGAGCTGGACAATGGCTAGGGAGGATAGAGAATTGATACCTTTGAGCTGTGGTACTGGAAAGAAGAGTACTAAATATGCAATGGACTGCTAGGAGAACAAACAGATTCGTTCTGGAGAAGGTGAAACAAGGCGGCTTCTTGTAGGCAAGGATTCTGAAGCTTCGTCTGACATACTTTGTACAACATATGTTACAAGGAGGGACCAGTCCTTGCAGAGGGACGTCATGCTTGGTAGGAGGGAGGGACGGTGCAGGAGAGGGAGACACTTGATGAGATGGACTGATTCAGTGACTGGGAAATGGGAGTAGGTGTGTCAAAGACAATAATGTTGGCACAGGATAGAGCAGGGTTTAGGTTTCTTGTACATAGGGTCGCTATGAGTTGCAAGCGACTCAACGGCACCTAACAACAGCAAACAAACAAACAAATAAGAAATCAGAATATACTGAACAGCTTGTTGAAGCCTATATTTTTCTTCAAAGTAAACTCTTGAAGAATAGGAAACCCTGTTAATTGCCAGCCACAATGCAAATTTAAAACAGAAAGGAGCTGTTATAAAACACTAATATTTTAAGGTAGCTCTGGTGGCTTAGTAGTAAGAAATTGCACTGTCAACACAAGGGTTTTCAGTTCAGATCCACCACCTGCTCCACAGGAGAAATGAATAATTTCCTCCCATGTAATTAACTGTTTCTGAAAACTTGGGGTCGATTCTGAATTATTGATACATAACAACATCAGTAATAATGTTTTGTAGGATACTTGCTGAAAGGAATAAGTGAGTATATGCAAGTGCATTTGACTCCTAATGTATACATATTAAACAAAGAGGGCCAGAAGGTTTTAAATGAATGGATGGATGATGACATTTCATAAAACTGCTGTATAAAAAGAAATCTGTATTTGTGGCATGAAAATAAAAGACAGGACAAATGGTATTAATTCATTAATATAAATAATAGAGATAATAAATTTGAACTTGAATATGAGCAGTTGACTGTCCCTTCCAAGTTGGTCCTTCCGCTGTTGATAGTGAACTATACCACCATCTGTTTCCACCGATGTAGTCAATTTATTTCTTGTGTATTCCCTGGTGAGATCCATGTATACAGTGCTTTTTATTTATTTGAGGAAAGTATTAAATTAGCAATGAATAAATACTTGATTGTACAGGATTTTGTTATTTAATTTCCAGACTCGTTTTTGTCACCAAGGCCATATTTTTAACAACTACCACTTCTTTTTTATTTCCATCTTTTCATTCCAGTCACCATTTATTATTAATACATCTTGATACCATGTTTGTCAAATTGCAGGAGTTGGTAAAATCCTCAATTTCCTCATTTTATCTTTAGTATATTTTGTGTGTACATTTGAATAGTAGTGGTTGTATTAACATGTCTTCCATTTATGCATAGGGATATTATCCTTGCAATTTATAAAGGAGCTCTGGTGGCATAATTGGTAAGGAGTTGCATTGACAACCCAGAGATAAGCAATTTGAATTGTTGAATTGATGTGGGACAACAACAGAAATTATAATAAAAAAGATAACATGATCTTTACGTATTATATATCTTTCTCTTAGTACATAAAACTTCATTAAGAAGAATATTATGGAAATTTTTTTTTAGCTTATAGGATCTGCTTATTAGCAGCCACTTTGATAAGCCTCTTCGCCTCAGTAATAACTACCTTTTGTACACATGAAGGTCAGTAAAGTTTTAAGAAATAATTTATTAATACATATGTGACTAATGAAATCCTTTTCACGCCCCTTCTTTTACAGGTTATGTTCAGAGTCTGATTCGACGAGTTGTAAATAATGTAAATATTGTTATAAATAATCTCATATTAAAATATGTTGAAGATGACATTGTTCTGTCAGTCAATATCACCTCTGCAGAATGCTATACAGTAGGTGAATTATGGGATCGTGCATTCATGGATATATCTGGTGAGTAAATGTGGACAATAATGATCATTTTTAAGTAATTGAAATAGTTTCTTAACCATTATTTGAGTGAAATGTCTCTTACAGTCTAATGACTCTATACTTTCATCCTGGAAAAATACATACATACAAAGTGTGTAAAATTATGGGACATTGATAGACCCCTTCTAAGGACTTTGTAAATTTTTAAGTGATGCTGCTGTAATTAGCGTTTTAAGAAAAACATTTTCTTTTTTTTTTTAAAGAAAAACATTTTCAAATTTAACAGTTTCTTCTCTAGTTAGAATAATAATTTTCTTGATTATCCTTGGGATATGTTATTATAATGGATAACAGCATACACTCTGGAATAAAGTTACTAGAGCTTGAATCATGGCTCTACTTTCTACAATGTAATATTTGACAGATTACTTCTCCTTATTGTGCCTCAGTTCTCACATCTTTAAAATATGGCAATATAAATATTTTATAAGAAATAATATTTGCATGAAGGACTTAGTATTTTGTCTGATTTTAGTAAATGATTTTATCAATCTAGTGATAACTAGAAGATTTCAGAAAGTTGCCTTTATTTTAATGTATTAGTATACATATATACAATATCAACAACTAAGTAAAATATTTATTTGATATGTAGAATTGATTTTTGCTTCTTAAACACTTAAATCCAGGAATATAACAGACATGAAAAGATTACATTGTTAGAGATTGCTATAATATGCTTAAAAATAGTGACATTATAATATGAACTAGAGCCTATATTATTATTTTAAAAGTCCTGTGACTATAGTTTGTTGGTAGCTACTTAATTAAAACCAATGCTCAGGTGGATTCAGACCTGATAATTTTCTAGGAATAGCTAATTATTTAGGAATAAAATTACTCATTATTTAATTGAATGTATTAATTTCTATTTTAATACTTTACAAGAAATTCCCCCCATTTCTTTGAAAACAGTCACTTCTCAGTAATTTCTTTATTGTGTGTGTTTTTTAAAATTTTATTATTTTTTTTGTGTGTATTGCCAAATTGGATCTGACTGGTACACCAGGAGATTGCCCATCTTCTCCAGCAGAATATCTGGTGGATTTGAACTGCATACCTATGGGATTGCAGTGCAACTTTTTGCCACTAGGCCACCAGAGTGCCCCTTATTGTGAATTTTTTTTTTAAAAGAATAATTCTGTCCACTGGAATAGCATTCACTGGAACTTTTTGTTGTGGTAGAAATATTTTATGTTTTCATCTTCCAGTATAATATATTGCCACTGGTCGCACAAGATTTTTGAGAACTTTAAATGTGGATTATCCTAATGGGAAATGAATTTTGAATTTTAAACAACTTTAGTTAAATATATTTAAATAACCACATGTAGCTGGTTAACTGTTGTATTAGACAGCTTAGATTCAGAGAGTAGCAACTTTTGAGTAAAAGAAAGAACAGATATTTGAAAGAACTATTTGCAGGTGCTGCTCTTTAAAGAACTTTGCTGCTTAGAGAGCTAGTGATCTCCTCCTGTAAAGAATAGAACCTAGGAAAACCTTACGAAGAAGTTCTACTCTGTCCTTTGGGTCACTAGCATTGAAATATATTTGATGCTTAGAAGTATTGTATGTTGTTGTTGTTGTTGTTATGTGCCGTCGAGTCGTTTCCGACTCATAGCGACCCTATGCACAACAGCCCTAAACCCTGCTCTATCCTGCGC